CTAAAAAGACAGACTAAAAGGTTCGTATATTTTTCTTTACATAAAATGAAGCTTTATTAAAATTCCTAATGACATAATAAATAGCGATTTACGTAAGACATACACGAGACATAAATTGAGAAAGTGACTTTAATAACGCGATAGACACCGAAAACGCCGATATGGACAGACAAATAAATAGGGTTGAGGAAATAAACCGTGCCGACCCGAGAATTTGATTAAGCCGAGCAGAAGCATGTAGAGCACGACGGTTCGCGTTTGATAAGAGTAATTCGAGGATATAATGTGATTACAAATAATGTGAGCACCTACGAGCTACGAGCGTAAAATAATTTCCGGAGGAGAATTACGTGACGTATGCACAGAGCCGCGGTGAGATATGTACTTTGACCCCTTAAATAACCAAAGAATGCGCGGAAGGGGGAGAGGGAGGGGGAGGGTGTGTCGTTTCGGACGTACGTATCACGTGTGACGTAGAATTAAGCGGGAGCCCTCGACGAAAGCTCATGTTATCTCAACTGTGCAATCCAATTGTAAAATTGAATAGCGTCAAAAGTACAAATCTCGCGGGAAAAAAGTCCCCCTTATAAAATAATATTTATTTATTCGAAAAAAAAAAGAGAGAATTCTCTTTTCCATTAAAATTCTTGAAAACTCTTGAATGAGGAGTATTCCGAAGCAAGTTTTTGCAAACTTGTTCCACAACTGTAGGGATTTTTTATTAGGATTTTCCGTCGATCGACTCACGAATAATTGACGGCGCACCGCACCGTCGTGTTTATGCAAAGCAAGTTTGTGAAAAGCTTTCGCAAAATTTTACATTCCGGCTGCGTTATAAATGTTGCAGACGCAAATATCCGTAACGAGTAAGCGCGCACCCATACGGAAAGTGTAGCGTAGTATGAACGTAGGTATATAGTAACGCGCGGCGTTATATTTTTTCTCTTTTTGACCCCTTAAATTGCCAGGAAGGTACGGGCGGGTCGTTTGTTAGCCACCACGTGTTATCGCCGTCTTGAATAATACAGTTGGTGTGTTTTACGAAAGTTATGCGCTTACACCCTTTAACTAAATTACGCTTCGCGAGAGAGTTCGAACGTTTACCCGATAGATACGCCACCGAGATAAACCGAGCAGAGTATATGTATATGTGTGTGTATATATATATATATATATAAATATATACGTCCATTTTCTATCGGTCTTTTTCCCCGCTAATAAATATTTCACGCGTTACTCCCTTCCGCGAGTTAATAATTTTTATCGCTCAGTACGACGATAGTAAATTATTATACGAACGAATTCTTTTGTTTGAAAAATTTATACTGTTCGAGAAAAAAAACAGAAATTAATCTTACACTGAAAGAATTTATGTACTTTTATATGGAAATTATTTGTTCAGCACTGGAAAAGATACTTGACTGTCACTGTAATTTTTTATTTGTATTTTTAAAGTGAAAATATATATTAAAGTATCATTATGTTATTAACGATTTACGAAATAGCTTTTAAGGATTTTTTTAAGTCATTGAATAAGAATTCAATGTTAAAATCGTCGAATTTAAAATAGTACTCAATATGAAAAATGTTATAAATCCACTTGAGTCCATCATTTAAAATTTGACAATTTTGACGCTGGATTCATATTCAGTGATCTAAAAACGTTTAAGATTAAATAAACAATTTAAATTTATTTGGTAAATTGTGAATGACCTAAGTCACTAACTTCCGCAACACAGCTCATATTTAACCATAGATATCTTATGAATTTATGAACTATAATCGACATCAAAAATTCTTTTTGAGATGGCAATAAAACTTCTCCAGCACATATTAAAGTTATAATATGACGAAATTCTTGAAAATAGCCCTGTTTCGCAATTTTAATTAAAAATTTCTCAAAATTCCACCGTGATGGAGCAATTAAAAAACCGGATTTGTATTTAACATTCAAGAAATTATTATTTCGAAAAAAACAGCGTGTCTAGCGGTCAGGAAAATCTGGAAAGCCGGGCATTGTCAGGGAATTTTATAAATCTGGAATTGTCAGGGAAAAAAATGAGGAAATTTTACTATTTATCTGAATTTTTTCACATTATTCTACATTTGTCTCAATTATGTGAAATTTTTTATTAAATAAATATAAACTTTTCCTTGACTCCCAGCACGCTAATTTTTTGTGTTGTTAAAAATCGATTCATGTACAGCGTGTTCGTTAATTTATATTTTCATCATCGTGTTATTTTATTTCAATTATGCGTCAATTAATAGTTTATATTGCCATGCTTGTTTCGGTTATCGTACATAATGCAGATTGTATAATTGATTTAAATTTTTAATTTCCAAATCTTTTCATTGCTGACAAAAATATCTCAAGAATTTCATGATTTAACATTTAATCGATTTATCATATAGATATATGCAAATTATATATTTGGAAAAAATAATACTAACAAGTCAGGGAAAAAAATTAATTTCTGGAAAATGTAAAACAGTCAGAGAATTTTTTTTCATTGAGTCTGCTGGACACCCTGATAAAACATTTTCAATTCTGTGACTCTGTTACAAAGAGGTGCCAAAATTGCGTCGAAAAAAAAAAAAAAAAAAAAAAAACGTGGCGATACATTTAACGCTGCAGCGAGCAACTGACACGTGCCTTCGAGGTATCGCTGACGTTAAAGAATCACTTGGTGCCCGGCGAGAGAGATAAAAAGTGCGGTGGTCCGCTGCGCGCGCTCTCTCTCGTGTAAAACGGGACACGTGCGAAATGGGCTACGGAAGAAAAATACCGAGGGGTGGCTACGCCAATGTCCGCCGGTCTCTCCATCGCGAGTCGGTCCATCGAGTCTCGATAGTCGTGAAATCTTTCCCACATCCGTCTTCCGGTTTGTGTACCCGTTCTCCTCCCCCTACCGATTTTTTCCCATTAAAAGTAAGATGGCGCGCAAATCCCCGCGTTTTTACCCCTCTGCTACCCTTCTTTCGCTCCCCCGATAGTAGTATACGCTTAAAATCAATGTTCAATGCACATGCTCGGCTTCCTACGTCTCGCACGAGCGCCGGGAATGTGTGCACTTTACCGAAGGGGAGAGATTTCGAGAGTGCGAATGCATAAGGGGTGCACCGAGAAGAAGCGAACAGAGAAAGAGATATATAGGATTCAATATTCAAAATATTGTGCATAAATCTAAATAAATCCAAAAATCGTCCAATTTATCAGAGATATATATATATATATATATATATATATATGTAATAAATCTGTGTGCATTGTAGCGCGAAAATATTTTCCCTTTGTGCGAGAAGGGATGACGATTCAGCGATTCCGTCAACTCTCAGATTCTGGCGTTAAGTGTAGGATTAACGAGATATTCAGTTTTAACGTTTTTGTCGTCGATACTTTTAACGCTAACGAACTCGATAGAGTGTGTTCCAGCGCATGTTGGAGACAATACTGTAATGAGCGTCTGAATCGAATACAAATGCGTATGGTGGTACACATGGAGAAATCGATAAACGTTCTCTACTACCCATATGCGTTGCATCTCGGGCACGTATGTGCATGTGTACACACGGCCATTGATGAACGTAAATTGATGAACTATAATAAATCGAATTTATTTATGGTAATATGAAATAAAAATCGAATTTTCGATACGCCTCGTGTGTACGAAAGCACCGAATCGAAAATATAATATTCTTTTATATTCTGGGGAAAAAACTATTGCATTATTCGCTTTTATCTCGTTCTCATATATGTTTTGATTCGTATAATTTTCAGTGTTGTGCTTGGATGATTTTAAAATTAGCTAGATACAGATGAGATAAAAATTTGTAAATTTAGCTTACAATTAGATAAGATGAAGATAATTTTGTTTTAAATATATCTAGATAAAAGATAAAATTATATGGCGATTCATCTAGATACTTTTCAGGTAATATTATTTTTTAAGTATAAATTATGAAAGGGGCATGAAAAATATATTCATATTTTTATTTGTAAGTTTTTCTCGCTTATTATTCAAGTTCTGCTATTCAAGTATTTTTATGTCTTATATGACTCTAAACCAAATTATCTGAATATTATTCTAGATAATTTAATAAAGATAACACTTTTTTGTCTAAAATACAGACAAAACATTTTTATTATCTGTATAAAGATCCAAATTTTATCTAGATGATCATCTGTATAATTTTATTTAGATAACAGCAAGCACTGATAATTTTATATTAGACTTTGAACTTTCCCGCATATTGGAAATGTCTATTGTTGCTGTCGATTCGTCGCAGGGCTGGATAAATTTCGTTAACGAATCTCCTTCCTATATAGCCGAGAGCCAAACTTTTAATAGACGTGTTAGTAATACAAGTTACGCCACACGGACACAATGGCACGAAGTTTAACGACATAGTTACACGTGACGCATGAGCATAGTAGTTTGAACAACAACCCAGATCGATAGATATTAGATGGAAAACTCCCTCACACTCCGAAAACTATATTTATAGACTAATATTTTAATACAAAAATTCACGGCCGGAAAATTGACCAATAGTCGTTTGACGTTTCGATGACTATTTTTAGCAGATCAGTTGATAAAAAAATTTGTTCTTTTTAATCCATTCTAGTCTTATCGATATATAAAATTAATATTTTAATATAAAAAAAACTATGCGCTGATAACATATTATCTCTCATAAAGATAAAGTTATGTTTTGACAAAATGTTTGATTATTATATTATTAAACCTTATGTACGCAAAAAAATAATATTTTTTATTCACGAGTTATATTTGCATTTAAAACTTAATATATTTTTCAATTAATATTCTTAATATATTCAATTAATATTCTTATTATTTAATATATTTTTATATTATATAATATTTAATATATTTTTTAAACTTTTTTTAGACTTAATATAGCTTAATATATTTTTATATCATAATATAGAATAATGTTCTTAATTTTGTTAATATATTTTTATTCATACGTTTCAGAACCGATGCTACTGCTACGAAAATGAAAAAAAAACTACTTCACATTTATCAAGCAGCGTAATCGAGGTCGTAATTAACACTTTGGCGACTTCGAGCTGTTGTCCATCGACGTTACGTAAGTCTCATTTAATTTATTCCTTTTCTAATGCATGTCACATCCGTTTTTACATACATATGCATAACCGCGGACTAATATACAGGGTGACAAAAAAATAGAAACGTATCCGTTTCAATTTATATATATATCCGTTTATTTTCTCGAAAAATGTATTCGCTGACGAACAGCTTCGTGAAACGAAAAACGTGCTCTTTTGCCATGGAAAAAACACGATCATCCTATACATACATAACGCGCTCGTACACATATGCGGGGCTATTGTTCTGTCGCGAGTTTTAAGTTCGCGGCCTCTCGAGACATTTTGTTCCCTTTGTCACCCTTGGTGCTCTTAAAAAGACATTCCACGGAATGGATAGAGAGAGAAAGGGAGATAACCATCGGCGATTGTATAGAAGAATTTTATTCTAACGAGGGACTTTTGTGCGTCTTTCAAAGAGAGATGTATAAAAAAAGAATTAATTGACAGAGCAGTCGTGATTATATACAATACATATATTTTTATTCGCCGATACGAGACTTGACGTAGCATATCAATCACAATAGCTGCACCTCTCTGTTTTATGCAATTCTCGAAGCGTTTCGCGACGACCTAAAGAGACTCTCGGTTGAGGGTCGCATTTCCGTGAAACTTTCCGATCGCCGCAGGGTGCGAGAACTCCTACCCTGTCATTCTCCGTCGAAAGGGGAAGAGAGATTTCCGTCCTTCTTTTTCTTTTTTTTTTTTTTTTGGCGCAGTTTGGCCCCTCGAACCTATCGCGTTTCTTTCTTCGACGTCTTCACCGTCGAGCTCCATCAACGCCTGTCGTTTAGCCCGCGGCGGCGCGTTGACGAAAGCAAAAGTGATTAAATGAAGATAGAGTGGAGGAACGAGAGGGCGTTCGCAGAGGTCCACGAGAGAGGAAATTGCCGGGATGCCGAGGCGTTTTCGTCAGGCCTTCCTTTTTCTCGAGTGGACAGACTCGCAATTATTCAGCGAGATCTTTATTTTAATCTTTTCGTAATTTAGATTTAGGAATTTTTTTCCATTTTTTTTTCTCTCGTTCTCTCTCTTTCTCCGTATTAAAGGTCCATGTAAATATGTCGGAGCAATTAATCAATTTTAATTTTAAAAATATATTTATATATTTTCTCTCGAATATTTATATATCGCACTGTTCAACAAAAAAAATTAAAACGTGACTAGTCGTTTCTTATATATAGTTTCTTGGATGCTGAATGCGGAAATCTGGTTTCCAAATTATTTTATCACAATTTTGAAAAATTTTTAATTAAAGTTGCAAATAGCTCTTTTGCAACTTTAATTAAAAGTTTCTTCAAATTGTGACGTGATGGAGCAATTTGGAAACCGGATTTGACGTCAAAAAGAATATAAGAAACCAGAGTGTCTAGTGATCAGGGAAATCTGGAAAACCGGGCAAAGAATTTTATAAATCTGGAATTGTCAGCGAAAAAAGTCAGGAAATTTTACTATTTATCTAGATTTTTTTTCACATTATTCTACATTGTCCCAATAATTTGAAATTTTTTATTAAATAAATATAAACTTTTCCTTGACTCCCAGCACGCTAATTTTCTGTGTTGGTAAAAATCGATTCATCTACAGCGTGTTCGTTAATTTATATTTCATCGTCGTGTTATTTTATTTCAATGTGTTTGATAGAGATTTAACTAAAAAATTTTATATAATATGAATAAATAAAAAGGTGATTATTTAAATAGTTTATAGAGACATGTTTGTTTCGATTATCGTAAACATAATACAGATTGTATAATTTATTTAAATTTTTAGGATTTCAAGGATTTCATGACTTAACATTTAATTGATAAACTATATAGATATATGCAAACTATATATTTGGAAAAACTAATACTAAAAGGCCAGGAAAAAAAATTAATTTCTGGTCTTGAAAAATCTGAAAAAGTCAGGGAATTTTTTTCATCGAGTCTGTTGGACACCTTGTTAATCTCGTTCCGGTGTTCGAAAAAAGTAATTTTTTTATTGAACAGTGTTACCGATATAAAATCGATCTTGAAAGGATGGTAATTTTTCAAGCTTCAAAATGCCATTAAATTTGCTGGAAAATTCGGGCAGTAGTTCTGGGGCACTTTGTATATATCAGGTACCTGTCACCGTCACACGGCGCGATATTATGTATTCCCGGCCTCGTCGCTCGCGATTTTCCGATTTTCCTAAAATATGTCAGACGCTGTTTGGCCGTGCATTATCACGGAGACGCGAGAGAGCGCGCGACGTTAACTACGCATGTAAGTAATTAAATACGACGAAGCTGCGCCAGGATTTTTCTCCCCACTAACCCCTTTTGATTCATTATTATCATCACTGTCGTACAGAGTAATTAATGGCAGGAAATTCGGAAGAGATTCCGAAATACACAAAATTCGAATATTCAAATGTGTATTTCGCACAAATTACGACTTCCCGAATTTATTTCCGGGACTTTGACTTTTCAAGGTCCTATAAAATCCTAAGGTCTCATAGATGCATTTCGAAACGACGTTCTTGGCATTCCAAAGTCTAGCTTTCCCTCTCTCTTTCTCTCTCGATCGCTAAGGGCCAAAACGCAAATTGGCGAACTTTCAGATCCGCGCATACAATAGATTGGAAGTCGTGCGGCAACAATGAGTCTCGTATCGAGATGAATATCTTCGGAATAATTCGCAGGGCGTTTCCCTGGGGAAAACGGAAGCCGCGAAGAAAGTTGCGTCCGTCTCTCGGTTGTTAAAGATCGCCGCGGGGCTGGCTGGGGATTTCTCCTCCGGTCCTCTTCATCTTGCTTGGGCCTGGTGGTTATCGTCTATCGCTAATGAAAGAGAGAGAGGAAACTCACGTCGAAGGAACGCGAAAGATCGCGCGCGTTCTGTGTTCATATATATATATATATATATATATACATATATACATATATATATATATGTATATCTATATATATGTATATATGTATATATGTATATATATATATATATATGTATATATGTATATATATATATATATATGTATGTATATATATGTGTATATATGTATATATGTATATATGTATATATGTATATATGTATATACACACTTTTATCTTTTCAAGACGACTCCACTGGTTTCTTATCGGGAGGTTATCGTTAGTCTCGAGAAAAGTTCTCCGGTCACGGACATCCGCTTTTCGTTTTGTTTGCCTGGCACAATACGAACCCATATATACCATCAACCTCGATTTGGTTTGCAGTTAGAGACAATGTAATATTTTGGCTCCCTGCTATATCTAGAAATTATGAGAAATATATATGCAGTGTTTGCTGTTATCTAAATAAAATTATATAGATGATCATCTAGATGAAACTTTTATCTTATCTTTATTTTCAGATAATTTTGATTTAGAATCATAGCACATAAAAATACTTGAATAGTAGAACTTAAGCAGTATACGATAAAAATTTATCAATAAAAATATGAATACATATATTTTTATATCCCTCTTATAATTTACATTTTTTTAATAACTGTGTTTACATAAGTAGTCTTGAAAATTATTATCTAGAAAATTATCTAGATGAATAATTTTATCTTTTATCTAGATATATTTAAAACAAAGTCATCTTCATCATATCTAAGATGAATTTACATATTTTTATCTCGCCTTTATCTAGCTAATTTTTAAATCATCTAACCACAACACTACCTATATATGACAGTAATTTTTTTATGACCGAACCGTTTGAAGAAGCAATGTGAAAAAATTTGCCGATATTTATTTATATGACCAATATTTGTATAAAATGTCGCGACACAAAAAAATAAAATCAAAAATTTGATTTTTCCCGCGCAAATTGACAGAGACGGTACTCCGCGCATCATCAAAGAACGCGCGGACTATTATTTTTTTTTCTCTCTTCGAAGCGCTTAGTTTGCGACGGAAATGCCAAGCGTCGACGATATTCATGGTAATTCAATTCAAATTAATTCTCGGCGGTGGAGAGAGTCGCTCTTCGTCCGCGCGCGCATCTCCCTTCTACTAAATGGCGTCTCATAACCCGCTCGGAGGAGGTTTGTAACCGGAAGTGACGTAAAATATCGCGCTGCGACGTAATCAGCCTTCCTCTTCCTCCTTCTCTCTCTCTCTCTCTCGTTTTCCCGGTGCTCTATCTATCGCTCCAAACCGGCAGATCTCTTCGAGGTTTCTCTAATTGTTACCGCGGGCCTCCGCGATGTTAATCACGTGGCCGGGCTGAGACAGTAATTCAGCATTACGGTGAGGCATAACGCCAGTTCAGGATACCGGGCTGCCTACCTGTCGGCTTATTGACTCGCGTTTATTAGGTCCGCGCAAGTAATCGCGATGTAATTGGAAGAGTAATTTGATGGTGGAAATTTGGGCCAATGGCGTCTTCTCCGGCACATGAGCAAAAGATATTGCATATTCCGGAGACCCTATCTTGCGCAAATATTATCTTCACGGAAGACGAGTGTGCTTAATTAAATTTTTTTTTAAGAAAAAAAATTAATTTTCTAAATATTTTAAATTACATAAAATGATTTTTGTGTGGATATATTTAGTGCAATGAAAGAATTTTGAATGTCAGAATTTTTGAGACTTGTTTAAAATCGTGTTTTTCGATCTTTAAGTACTTTTTCTTTGAAAGTCACTAATTTGAATGGTATTATTAATTTTTAATTTCTTCGGAAATAAATAATCTACACAGAGAGAATTTTCTCTTAGAATTTTAATAAAAATATTGATATCTATCACAATAAGAAAGCAAATATGTTCGATTAATTTTACTATGTATACGAAATTTTTATGTACATATTAATATTTTTTATTATGACAAATATTAATCAGAGAAACTTTTATAAAATTCTTTCAATACCACAGTGTTTGTTCAAGGTAAATTCTAAGAGAAAATTCCGCGTATGATTTAATATTTACTTTAAAGAAAAATTGTAGTTTTATCAAAAATTACGAACGATTACAAACACTAAAATGTAT